CCCTGGGATACCAGTGAGAATTAAAACTGGGCAGAGCCTCAAAGTGCTGATTCCCACCTGAGAGGCAACAGATCAAACCTGGAGGCAAAGTGGCCCCAAGGAAAACATTTTGCCCAGGAGCTGATAGCCCTGAGGTCCTTCACCTGTCTCTGTGCTCTGCAAGCTGGATCACACCTACAAGTGAATGGTCTGAAGACAGGGATTTGCTTTAGTGGTGCATGGGGCCAGGTAATAGCTTTCAGTGTGACTTCCTCACCACCTCTGCTTCCAGCTAGCAACACCTCATATTCTTGAATATTAGCTGGTTAACATCAGGCAATTAAATATCTCCATGGGTGACCAACCTAGGACTGAAACCATTTCCTAGCGATTTGAGGTAACAGGTAAACTGTGCCTTGCAGTATCAAAACCAGTTGGGGGATGTTTCCAAACACTGCAGAGCAGAGGGCTGAGCCCTGGGAGCCTTCTCCCCAGCAGAACCCTTCAGCCTCCCCTGCATGTCTCTGCTCTGCACTGAGCAGTGGCTTTTGAAGCATCCATAGATAGCACAGGGGGGATTTGGCTGTTGTTTTTATTAGACTCTATGTGTGTAAAGAGCAGCACACAGGGACTGGAAAAAGGCTGAGACTCTCCCATGTAACAGAGGTAATTGCTGAATTATGCTAGCGAGAGATAGGAATCAGACTCTCAGATTTTAAATTCATTAATGCTCAAGCAATAGCAAGAGAAAGAAAATTTGGCAGGCAAACAGACCTCTGTTCCAATTTTATCAAGGTATACAACAGAAAAAGAGAGTTAAAAAAAGAATCCATCCCTGAAAACCTACTATATGAATGATTCAATAAATACCATGACCTTGTGCTTTCAAGATTATGATTTATAAAACAAACTGATGGTCAGGAAAAGAATGACTACACTTGGGATACCCACTTCTGCTGTTTTCCTTTCTGTAAGTGGGGATGGCAACAACTATGAGCTCATTCAGTTCCCAGCCAGCCCTTCACTGTTTGAATGAATAAGCATCACTGTTCGCTGCAGTTTGCATGCAGTCCTAACAGAGGAACAGCAAAACATGGTGCAAAGTACAGTACATTCTCATAAATCAGGCCAGGACATTCAGAAACAGGTCATCAATAGAAAGGCAGATTAGCCACGTCCGTGTTACTACAGACACATCCGAACAATTCATCTTCCAGCACAAGAGAGAGACTAAAAAGATGTAGAGAAAGAAGAAAAACCAAGTTTCTCTGTCTCTTGAGTTTTCTAAGCTGTTTGTTGGAAATGAGTGAATATTTTGTGAAATGAGTTCGATGGGACTCATCTGAGCTTCTGCAGGGCAGATCTGCACATAAGCAGAGACCATCCATTGCAGCTCAGCAGCTGGAAGCCTCGGGGTTGACACAGGCAGAGGGAATGACGGGTCCCCCCTCACACGCCTTCTCCATGTTAACGTTGATGGGGGCAGCACAGAGAAGCTTCTGCTGCCACTGCCTTTTCTGAGCCCACGTCTCCTTTTCAACCTGTAATGGATTTCGATTCCTTGCTATGTCAAACAGCTCCTTTTCTTTAGTGGTAATTCGTATAAACAGCCTTTAAGCACCAGCCCTCCTCTCTGTTCTCCAGTCCTTGCTTTCCACGCCTCACCACACACAACAGCAATGGCTGTGGTTCAAGTTTATTAAACGCATGAATGGAGCCACTGCACATACCCTGGGATCACGTGCGAGCCAAAGAGAGGGCCTGCACTAAATCAACAACAGCTCCCCGACAGTCAGTTATTAAGGGAATTAAGGGGTTGCAAAAGCTTGGTCCCCAAACTGACAGATTTCAGAAAACTATTAAACGCACTGTAAAATGCAAGAGGGGAACTACAAAGGGCTGGAGCAAGGTGGGCGATTTGTGGGGAAAAACAATTTGTTTTCTTTCCAAAATCCAGCAATCCCACCTACATCCCCTTTTCCTTTCCTCCTGCCTTTGAGTTTTGGTATCTCAGGGGTGGCAACTCAGTTTGCAGTGAAGGTGACAAGGGTTCAAGAGCGAAAGAGTAGATTTTCCTTTACTGCTAATGTAGTGCTGGGATATACCTCTCTGTGTTGTGACCACTGTAATTCAAGGGCATTATAATGCCATTAAGCCCTTCTGGTGCTGTGCTCCCTTGATGAAGCCTTTCTGGGCTGTCACTGGAGCTTTTCACACAACCATGCTGAGCTGACTGCCATTAATTAAGGGAAGCTTGCTCACAAGATGCTCCAGAAATCCTCTCAATACAGGGGACTTTTATCTCTTGAGGGAGCTGGGGTTTGAATGGCTCAAAAATGAGCACGAACTTGATAGGTTATAAAAGTGCTTTGGGTTTCGTTTGGCTCCTGCAGCTCCACCTCTTTTTTGGTGAACAACTCGGGCAGCTTCCTCTGAGTCACATACATGTATCTCATCTCCCTGCACCAGGGCAGCAGAGGGCAGAGGCTCATTCCTTACTGCCAGCACAGCACAGAATTAGGAATTAGATTTCTAAATGCACCATGTCCGTACCAAACACGTGGCTTCTGGCAAGCTGGGTGTCGAGTTCAATCATCACGGCTATAGAATGTGCAAAGTGGAGTATTTCAAATGATCTCAGCATTGCATTTAATTCAAACCCCTGGTCCTATTGTCAGAAGCAGGAATAGAGTTAAGTCACTGCTGCCTCTTTCCACAAAATCCTCGCTGTAAATTCCTCAGCCTCCCGTGCAGCTCTCTACATGGGGTACCCCCAAAAGTGAGCCCAAAACTCAGCTGATTGCCTTGCAAATGTGAAAGTGATGCTGCTATGTCACTTTAACACAGGACTGTTTCCTTGGCAAACAAATGCTGACCAGAAAAGGAGGGAGGCATTGCTGGTCCAAGGCACTTTAATGTTTACTTTTAAAGCTTGTTTGTATTATTTGAAAAGAAGTCAGCACTATCCTTTAAATCATCCCACATTCTGTACACTCTTCAGGTGTGACCACAAGCAAGAGAAATTAGTTCTTATTGATTTCTCTTGTTTTATTTCACCATT